TCTCTTACAGTCATTGGGTACTCAGTCTATTTGCAAACTATTAGGACTGTTAGGAGCAGGAAGGACTATTTGCAAACAAAGCAACAGAACAAGCTGGCTGGGAGTTGGACTTGCCAAGAGCAAGTCATAAGGGGGGCTTTTAACAACCTCCTGTTAAAGGGTTACAGTCCCTATTGTGTAGGCCAGTAGGTGCTTCTGTCAAGAACACATGTGAAGTAACTAATATACAACCTAATGAAATCCAGCCTTTACAACCAAAAGACATACAAATATTCTAGGGGAATCAACTACCCAGGGGTTGTTCCATTATTATGCTTTCATCTTTGATCCTGAACAGAGAGTGGGCACATTTTAACAACCAGAGCTGGATGGATGATGCACCAGCTTCCTCCCCTAGGACACAGCCACACCACCCTCTTAGGCATTCCACATCATACACAGCAGAGACTACATATATATAATTTTTTTTTTTACCCTTCTTAGACACAACTGTGCTGACAGAGTTTCTGACTATGTTGAAAAGGGTTGTTGGTTTCTTTCCCCTCCCCCCACCCCTCATTTTTGGTAACACTGAAATAACAGTCTTAGCCATGAAAGAAGGCCAGGGAATATCAAGGGTTTGTGCAGGAGCACACAGAGCACAGCTAACAGTGTGGACCAGAGGGTGAGCTCCTCAAGGACTAGTGACATTCTGGCCGTGAGCACCTTCCAGCAGGCTTTTCTACATTTAGAGGTGAAAGCACCACAGAGTATTTCCTTCCACCATTCTTACTTTAACTGTTACAGTACAACAAAAACTGGGAAGAGAGCAGCACTGCAAACAAGGGATTAAAGTCTCCCAACTGACACACATTCCAACTATGGATCTCTACAACAAGACACTATTGAATCAAACCAGCTTTTGCTCATCTGTTTCCACTGGAAAGAGTCCCAGAAGCTGTTTTCCAAAGATGACCAACACAACTGATGTCCAACGGTATAAGATGTCTTGTATTTTTACTGTCATTGCAACAAATGAGGGAATATAAAGTTGTAGTGCTACAAAGGAGAAAGAAAAGCTCATCTGCCTTCAATACATGTCAAAACACAGGAGAGACTGTTCTCTTTGGGGAGTTAACTCTCCTCAAAATTAAGTAAAGATTAAAGCTTCCATAAATTCACTGGCTGTGTTAAAGTGCTCACTAATGTCATCTTCCTCCTATTTTCCATGTTCCAATAGCATAAATTAATAAGCAACAAGTAAAATGGTCAAGTACAATATCAGTGCTTCCCCATATGAAAGATTTTTATTTAGCTTTAGGATATGCAATGTTTCCTTCCACTGAGTTTTTCCATTAACAGGACATGTGGGTTTCATTTGTATGGATTAAAAGAACCATAATAGTTTTGCCCCTTCAAAACCTTCCATGTCTCAGACAGAGAACTTGCAAAAAATGCTGACCTACCGATACCACCCTTTGTTTAATATACAGAATTTTCATCTGGCAAATATTTGACTCTGAGCTCTAATAAAAGAAGAAATAGGAGAGACAATAGAAATTTTTCACATTACATCTGTGAAATCAAGGCCAAACAGTGAAACACAGCTGAAGTGCAAGTCTTACTAATTCTAGTGAGCTCTGGCATGGGATTTTCAGCCCAAAAAGTGTTGCCTGTTCTTCTCCCTAGATGAACTGGCTTGTTTAATTAACACATTGCCTCTGCAAAAGCCTTGCCTTCACTGTACAACTATTCTTATTATACAAATAATAATAGAGGTGTAAGTACTATACCAATAATAATAGAGGTGTAAGTTTTTGAGAATTAAAAAAAGTGGGATCAATGAAGTGAGAACTTGTTTTCCCAGAGTAAGGGAAGATTGGGATAGGTAAGAAATACAACAACATTAATTTTAGCAAAGAACCTATAGACTGCCAGCATGTGGAATCACTGTAAAGAGATTTAATAAAGGAGCTGCGAGAAAGGACCACCTCCTACAGAGGATTCCAGCCATGAGCATTTTTACAGTCAAAGAATCACATCAGGGCCTTCCCTGGCCGCTGTCACAGCAAGTTTTAGCCACAAGGAGTATTAAAAATTTGCACCATGTTATTTTAATCCAGAATGAGAACTTGTTATTTGCTAGTTCTAAGGATGAAACAAAAACAAAGAAGCACAACCCTTAACCATTTTTCTCTTACTCTGCTCAAACAAGGGAGACAAGCACTCTCTATCCTCCTCCATGTTAACTGAAAGGTGCTGAGGCCCCTTCCCTCCCCAAACCTAGACAATCACTGAGGGGACACTCTCTTCACTTTCAGGCCATACCATATGGTACTCTTTCACTTTTCTCTGGCTATTTAATTCATGAAACCCAGACCAACATCCCACCACTGCCTTGTTCTACCTCTCGTCTCCCATAGCCTCATAGAAAAGGATTTCAGAAAAGCTTTCCTGATTTTATTGGTCTTTGCTACAGTTCACGTGGCTGACAAGTGAAACAAAATTCAATGCTTTCTCTGCCCCTACACATGGGGACAGAGGAACACCCACGTAAGAATGCTGATGTAAGAATCAGCAGTTACAAATATACCTCAGCAAAAGCCAAGGTATAATTGAACATTAGGCATAAAAAGAAAAATAATATACACAAGGCCTAGCCTGTGCCATTTTCCCCTCAGACACAGCTAGAGCAGCATGGGCCCTCGGTATTTTATCAGCCAGCTAATCTGAAGGTGAAAGCCTTTGCAACTCCACACCAAACAACCTTCAAGCTTTAGGATCCTTTGGTCAACCGGTCCCTAAAAGTTCTATTGAGAAACAGACACAGCATCTGTGCACTCTCATCACACTGTCCCATCAATTTAACTCTGAAATTACCTGTGAGACAGGACAATTTAACAGTTTCAGTCAAAAGGTCTTAGTGCAGTGTGCTAGGCTTATTTAGGGTTTTCTTTCTTAAAGAGGGAATCAAAAGCAGCATAACAAACAAACACAACAAGGCTATTTAGCCATTAGGACTGAGAAGAGATCACAAAATTCAGGGAACAATGTTGCATTGCAAAATTATTCCTGGGTTATTACACAAGCCAGGAAGCCAACTCTTCCATACACAAGCAGAAAAAAGTTCACCTTGAACTTGTTAACTGAAAAGTATACTTTTAAGGAAAAAAAAAATAGATACACCAGTAAAGGAGGATCTGATGCCCATTCAGGTCATCAGAAGACTGATCATTTACTTCAGGTAACTCTACAAAGAGCTTGCTATATTACACTGTGCACTCAAACATGAGCGCCTGCTGATGCTGCTAGGGTATATATTACTAAAAAAAAAAAAAAATTTGTTTCTCCACATCACATGCTTTCCCCTCCCTTTCACTCCACAGAGCATAGAAAGCAATAACCTTTGTATAGGTCACTGTACATCCATAAGTTAAAACCAGAACAATGTATAACTGAGCACATAATAGTGAGGAAGGAGCACATACTATTTCCCCCCCCTCCATCTATTATGTTATAGAAATGAATTGCACAAAAGAGTGTAATTTACAGGGGTGATCGAAAAGCCCAAGTATTGTTGTGATACCTGGCTAATAGCCAGTGTGATACACCTTGTGTGTTACAGAAATGTTGCATTTGACCTACAGATTGAAAAAACATTGTCAACTGCTGCCTAACTAACAGTTCCCCCTCCCTCCACCCCACTTTTTCTCCTCCTCCTTCCACCCCCCCTTTCCCTTCCTCCTCCTGGTCAGCCAAGAAATGGAGTTCCCATGTGCCAAGACCTTGTATCTTATTTTGTCAAGAAAATTAAGGGGGTAAGGAGCGGGGAAAAAAAAAAATCTGCAAATAAATATAAGCCATATCAAACGTAAGAAAAAAAAAAAATCCTCTTCACCCTCACCACACACCCCACCCCAAGACCTTAACAGTTAAGAACTGCAAATATTTTTAATAATAAAAAAGGCATCCAACATATTAGTGCACAGTCTGAGGTTGATCCATGAGAAACCTTTTTACTGAATCCACACAATAATAACTCTCAGGATTATTTGATAAGGAGACACTGTGGCTTTCCACACTATTCTTTTTGTTTTAAGGCAAGAGGTGCGGAGAATTCAATTAAGTTTGGGCTGGGCAAAGGGACAACTCCAAACACTAGGATCTCCAGACAGAAGGAGGGGTTTCACTAGCTCCAACCTCCACTTACAAAGGAACAATACAAAAAAAAAAAAAAAAAAATTGCTTAGATTTCAAACTAAGGAGGTCAACAGCCTGTCTTTCTATACACGGAGATACATCAGTACTAATGTGCTTCCAGCACCTGCCTTTCAGCACAGCCCCAATTCCTTTGTTTGCTCAAAATTTGCTTCCATACCACTTTAAATTAGCTTACAAAGAACCGCAGCAGAATAGCTGGAATGTGAAACATTTTTTTTTTTTTTTTGGAGGGGGGAGGCTAGCAGCTTCTTAGGAAGAGAGAAAATTAAAATACAGACCCAAGTCACTTCTAAATACCTTCCAAAAAATTATATTTGCAACTTGATGCCTTCCAGTTCCACCCCTACCACCAAGCTCACTGACACACGAGTTTAGAAGGGATTAAAAAAAAACGAAAAAAAAAAAAAGAAAGAGAGAGAAAGAAAGAAAGAAAAAAAAAAAAGAGCCACCCAACTGCCATCTCCTGCCTCCTCTAGCCCTGCCAGCTTCCCTGTTCCTCCCTGCCTGCAAAGCGCCCTCTGGAAAGCATCGAGACTTCTTTTATCAAGCGGGGGGGGGGGGGGGGGCGGTGTGCGAGGGGAGATGGGGGGCGGAAAATCCTTGTTCTTGCTTAGTGTGTTTAGGACTAGAATTAGGGGTTATTATTTTTGGACACCCCCCCATGAGCGGAGCCCGGGGGAGGGGGTGGGTACCCCGCCGGAGCTCCGCTCATCGAGGTAGTCCAAAGCAATGGAGGGGGGGGGCAATCGCCCCCCTCCCCCCCCCCCCCCCCCCCCCCCAATAAAATGATAAAGACTTACCGGGGTCGAAATCAGGGACCACCGCCTGGTACTGCGGCCCGACCCTCATACCGCCGCCAGCTGAGGGAGGCAGAGGGAGAAGCGTTACCCGCGTGGGCCCGCCCGGCCCCTACCCCCCACCCCTCCTCCAGTTACCACACACCGCCGCCCCCCCCGCTCCTCACCGTGCTCCTCATCGCTGGAGGACCCCGAGCTACCCTCCTCCCAGGAGTTGCCGCTGCTGTTGCCGTTGGGGGCGGCAGATAAACTTTTGCTACCGCCGTTGTTGTTATTATTCGCGCCGGCGGCGTTGTGGTTCCTACCCCGCCGTTTCCCCGAGACCTCCGGGCCCTTCTCGATCATGGCTGGCATTTAGGGGAGGAAAGGGAAGGGGGGGTGGGGGGGGGGGGGGGTGGGGGAGTGGAGATGAAGGGAAGGGGGGGAATCAGAGTTTAAAAACTGCGGGGGGGGGCCAGGGGAGGCGCCGAGGGAGGCGGGAGCCGGGGCGGGCCGGGCCGGTGCGCGGCAGCGGCGGCGCTGCTACATCCCCCACCACGATCGCCCTGAACTTTGAGGCTCATCCCAGCCCTGCGCTGGGACTCCGTTCAACCTGCGCTGCTGCCTGCGGACGGCCCCGCCTCCCCGCGCTCCTCACCCTTTCCATTGGCCGAACCTACATTTTTGGGAGGCCAGCCCGCCTGCCCATTGGACGGCGCCCCCTGTCTATCGCGGCAGCCCGGCGCTTCCGTTTGCTGGGTTAGGTGGAGGCGTATCGCCGGGCCGTACGTGTGCGGGCTCAGCGATCTCTCCGCCCCGCGTTACCTCTCCTGCGAGGGCTGCGCCGGAGCGGGGTGGGGGGAGAGGCGGGTTCGCACAACCCCGCCGAAGCGGCGCTCCCCGGCCCGGCCCGGCCCGCTGGGGGGGCGGCAACGGCGCCCGCCGCCCCGCTGCGAACTCAGCCCCGGGAGGAAGGTGGCGAGGGACTACTTTGCCTCTCTCTCCCCCCCCCACTCTCGCTCACCACCCCCCCCGCGGCGGAGGGTTACGGCGTGGTTTGAATGGGATTCCATACAAAGCCCCGGTTGCCCGGGGGCCGTAGCTGGGGGGGGAGGGGGGCAGTTTGGCGTTGGGGTTTTGTGCTCGACCCGGTCGGGACGGTCCCGTCCCTGCGGGCAGGGGCGGCTGCTTCGCAGGGAGGAAGAAAAGTCCTCTGAGAGGTTGGGGGATCCAGCGGCCGGGAACGTCCCGGGGGAGCGGCGCTGAGGGTGCGAGGCAGCGTCCGGCGAGGTTCCCCCTTCTCGGCAGCGCAGCCCTGAGGGGCTAAGATCAGCCGGCCGGGAAACGGGCACCGCCACGGCTGGGGGCGTCCAGCCCCTGGGAGGAGCAGGCCCCCCCTCAGCGGGGTGCCGCCAGCACCCCCCCGCGGGCAGAGCCGCCCCCCGGGGTGCCTCGCACCCTCACAAGGACCCGCGGAAGCCCTGGGCCCCGGGCAGCGCTGGGGGCTCGCCCCGCGGTCCCCTCACGTAACTCCGGAGTCCCCCCTCGAGGTGGCTCTTCCCCCAAGTCGAGGTCCGCTCTTCGGGCCCAGCGTGGGCAGCAGACCCCTCGCCCTAAATTTCCACCGCTCGCGCCCTGGCGGCGGGGCGCCCCGGCTCCCCCAGCGACCTCGGCGGCCTGGGTGGGGGTCTCGGGCCGTGGAGGAGCCCCCCTCAGCCTGCGACGGCCTGGCGCGGCACAGGCACGCTCCCCACACGGCTGCCCTTGTAAAATCCGGCTTTGGGAGACAGGGCAGCGCCGTCCTACGCGTTTCTGCCTCCCCCGAGCCCGATCCGGGAGCGGACGTACCGCCCGGCCCTCGGCCTCCGCCCGCAGCGCTCCCCAGAGCCGCGAGGACGAGGGGCGAGGGGAGGAAACAAAAGGGGAAGCGAGACCACCCCGCCTTGCCTCGTCGCATGGGGCTCCCGTGTGCTTCAGCAAAGGAATCGCTTGGGGGAGCAGGACGGGGGCTCCGGACCTACCCTGACAAAAATGGGCAGCGAAAGTACGCGAACTGCTCGCTCCTGTCAGCGACTTGAACTGTACAGCAGGGTGAGGGAAAACGATACAGAATCGTGGAAAGCAGCTTGTGGGGTGTGTCTTGTATTTTCATTCAAATTAACTTCTGTAGCAAGTTTTTTTTTTTTTATTGGTCCGTGCAACTAAAAGTGCAATTTGACTAGCAGCGGTTATCTCATATCAGGAAAATTGTCCCCAGCCACTCCCCTCCTCCCTCTGCCATTTTAATCCAAGAGAATTTGTACAGGGGGAGGGGGGAAAAGCTGCTGAGGGAGAGCTACAGTCTCTTAGTACTGGGCTTACTGTTCCCTTTCTATATTGTGATTATCAAAATTATTTCACTTCCAGGTAGTAGTTTGGAAAGGGTCTTCCTTAATTTTCATGCACTATTTGCTTCATTAAAATTAGGGAAAGAAATATCTGTTTGAAATGCGTGGTAGTTTCCTTCAGCATACTGACCGGTTTATAATATTTACTTTCCCCTCTACACTCCGTATTTGTGTTGTGTGTATTGTACTGACAGATGCATAATCAGTTTCCTTCATGTACACATGCATGTACCTGTGAATATTTATTCACCACATTTATTTAGAGCACAAAAAATAAGTTTATCTACACTACATAAAAATAACTTTTTCTAGCTCACAAAACTAAATTTTATGACATCGACTCTTGATCCCACACTCTCTGCAAATATCAGCTCTAAATCAGGGGAATAATTAGCGATGCTCTTAAACCCTAGCACTGATAGCCACAAATATTTCCCATTGCAAAGCGTATTAGTTCTTTAGCGCAGAATACTTTTCATGATAGACAGAAATGCAAACATGGCAGAGTATTCATTATCCTTTGCCGTACTCCAATATTTCTACTCCAGAAATGCAAAGGCAGGAAGGGGACACATGATTTTTCATTTAAAAAATGAGCTTGAGTGAAATTCAAAAGGTTTTTCCATATTCTTTGCAGGTCCCAGACCTGAAAAAAAAAAAAAAAGCTCACCCAAGATTTAGGCTGAAGCACACCTGAGTATTCAGCTTGAACCCGAGACCATGGATGTGCTTACACCAAGACACGTGTGTTCAGCTTTGCAAATTGGGGGCTAATTTTGGTCGTCCTTCACTTCCTCTCCCTCCCTCCTCCTCCCTTCAGAGCCGTTACCCACTTAGGCCCCAGGCTTAAAATCTGAGTCAATCATCTGAAATATTTATAACACAATTTCACTCTTTTAAACGGACATTTACCGCCGGCACTTCCCAACAGTCCGTCTGTCCTGGAGCTGTGACCCCAGCCCGGCCCCTCCAGCAGCGGGGTCCTGCAGCCCCATCCCTCCGGAGCAGCGCGTCCCCCGGGCCCCCCCTCGGCTGGCAGCGCCCCGACCGATGCCACCCAGGCCGGAGCCGCTCCCTGAGACACCAGGGCACGCTCTGCCGCTCTTCTCCTCGGCAGAAGGTGCGGAGATGCCGGGAGGAGGAGCGGAGGGGCCCTTCTCCCCGGGGTGCCAAGGGGCGTGTGTGCACGCTGTGCGTGGGTGTCTGTCCCCGGAGCAGGAAGTCCCGGGGTTGTCACCCTCACGGCCAGTTTGCACCTGTCACAGCTGTCGTCCCAGGCCAACAACACCCTCTTCATCCCCGGCAGGGCTGCTGTCCTTTTTCAAACCTTTCTGCAGAAACTCAGGAGCCCTGAACTATAACAGCTCTGATGCGGATGGAGCTTTTTGCTTCTGACCGTTAAAAAGAATTTTCATAGTTGTTTTTGATTCCTTAACAGTGGCACGGGGTTTCTTTCTGCTTAGGCTAAAAGCCTGAAGTTTTGAGAATGCCCCAACACAGTGCTATAGATTTTGGTGGTGTTTTTGAAGGAAACTGAAAAATTCTTTTCTGGCCATAAAGCAAGCTCTTCATGGAGTGTAGGTGAGTGTGTACACAGAGACTGTACGCAAAATACAGAATTGTATTTTATTTTTCAGCAGCAAAAGTGAACACACTTTTTGCAGCCTCTTAACTACCACAGGTGACAGAAGAGAAGCGAATTATATTCCACTGTCTCACACCACTTGCTCTGGAGAAACCCAATGTTAAAACTTAATTATTTTTAAGTTCTGCAAGGTGGGACAGATAAGGAGGAAACTCCATGAGCACTAAGAGAGACTCTGGTGGATGCAGGGTCTTGTTTACCTGGATCGATACATCATTTGGACACGGTAGGCCGTGATCCTACACGTGACTGCACAGACCCCTATGTCCTGCCAAGGCTCATCAAGCCGTGTGTAGGATCAGGAGGAGTTTCTTATACGAGCTGTAGCAGACTGAGTCACATAAAGCAAAGATAGAGTTTTTCCTAGCCCCTGAGCTTCACAACAACTTCTGGATATTACTGTAACATAATGGTTAACGTGTTCAGCTGTTTAGATCTCAGAGCAAAATGGGGGGGAAAAAAAAAGTCTTTTCCTTATAAAGATGGTGTCACTGTTGTGTGTGTGCTGTAGCCTAACAGGTTGAACCAGGCAGGGCTGTCTTTTTAAATAATTTCTTGGAATTTTATTATCTTTGTCAAGGGAAAAGCACTTCTCCTTGCCAACTTTTAAATTAAAACTTTTTATTGTCATTAACCCTGTCAGTCCCACGAGTGAAATACATATGAAGTAGAAATGCAGCCAGGATCCCAACAAATAAGCAGCCTTCATTCCCCAGATGAAAAGCAAAGCGTCTTCTGCCTCTTTTGTCATCTCCTCCCTGCTCAGGTGAGTGTTTCATGCCTTTCACCCGGACAGCAATGCTCGCCACACATCCCTGGGGCTGCCAGTTCTTGCAACAAAGGGTTACAAGAGCGAAAACGCTTCCCGTTTGCCAGAGTTGTAAAAAGCAGCTCTCACCTCCTGCGTATTGTATTTTCCTTGAAAACAGACACACTAAAATGCTTACCCCAGTGAGAATGTGCCTGTGTGTTTACACGAGTGTATATATATATATGTATGTATGTATATACACACACATATATTTGGTTACTAGTAGTAGAAGAGAAAATTAATCACACTCTAGACTGATTGTTTTTAATACTGAAAGGCTATTAATCAGGAAAATGCTACCCTTTGAACAAGATGTTTATACAGTCAACACTATGGGTTGTTTTATTTTCCCTGGTGTTAAGCTGCCTGGTGCTAAAGCAGAGCGGAAATCGGGTTTATAATCTCTTTCATTAGAACTTCATGCTCCAAGTTTGACAACAATTTTGGCTGGAATTTGGAAGGAATGTACGGGAGTTGATGCCTGGTTCTCTTTGGTTTCAAGGGGACTTAGGTGTTCAAAACCCAAATCTCTGGAAGGATTTCTATGCTTAAAGACGTAAACAGACATTATATGCAAATTTCACAAACACCTCCTCCTGCTGAAGAAATCTCAAAGGGTATCTAATTTCACTTTAATGTAACTAAAAGACCTTAAAAATCTGTCCCTGAATCTCCTGTACTCCTTTGGAAATTTGTCCTTGGAGCTTTTCAGCCTGAAAGCTGCTTTTAGGGAAGGAATAATACGGCAAATTTTAATCCAAACTTTTATTTCCCACTGGAG